CGCGTGCAGCGGCGCGCCTCCTTGAACTTTGCCGGGTCCTGGGTCACGCGCGGCACGCCGAAGTCGCCGCCGCACTCGGCGGCCGGGTACTTGTTCTCCCAGTACACCTCAAGCGCGCCGATGGCTGCAATCATCTGCCAGATGCCTGCGGCGGGCACCTTCGCGGCTCCGAGCAGCGGGCCAGCAGCGGCGACGTCGGCGAACGAGACGCCGGACGAGGTGGAGAGCATCCCCTCGAAGTGGGTGCCCGTCGCGGTCCACAACCACCCCACGGTCGCCAGCATCGCCACGCGGCAGTGCTTGAGCTCCGCCGCGCGCACCAGCTTCAAGTTGGACTCGTCCATGTTCTCGGAGAGCTTGAGCGGGTCCCACACCTTGTTGGACACCTCGGTGGACGCGCCGACCCTGAGGAGGCGCCGGCGACGCGTGGGCGCGACCCAGGCTTCGCGGCGGCAAAGCAGCAGCCCGAAAGCGGGCGGCGAATCCCGTGCGGCGTGACGGGGCCGGGGCCGGGGCGGGCGGTGGTGCGGCGCACAGGTCGGTGACGGCGAGCATGGACGGCGAGGCCGACCGGACCGCAGATCGGGGCGCCAGCGGCGCGGCGAAGCCGCACGCGGTCGGAGAGGCGAGCGAGAGCATGGTGCAGATCCCGACGCAAATTGTGACGGCAAGAAAAAGACCGGGCAAGAGGGGCAGCAGAAATCGCGTCGCGCGAGAGATCGCCAGTGGATAGGGAGTCCACCGTGCTGCGAGCCTGTCGCTGTCCCTTGTCAGGAGCAGGAGAACTAGGAGAGCGCAACCAGTAGGAGGCCCGCGCTTGCCCCCGTGCCGCCGGGTGCAACCTGTCCTATACGAGAGAGGAATCCCTGGGACCCTGTCGTGAGGGTGAACCCCCTGCCCAGCCCCCCTCCGTGTCGCGATGCGCTCCCCGCTCCCGTTCCCCTGTGTCCCTGATCGTCCTTACAAGATCCTGCTCGTGCAGGTGGGGACCCTGTCCTTCTCCCACCCCTCGTTTGGCGTGTACGCGGTTGTATTTATTTAATTTATCGCGTCGCGCCTAGGCCTAGCCCGGTCGAACACCCCGGGTCGCGATTTTGGCAAGTGAATACGGGCGCTTTTTGACGATGAAATAAGAATCTACTGCCCGAGGGAAACACATAGACACCCACATGGTTGACCAACCCTTACTGTGTGAGGGTCAGTGTTCACATTCACACCCCACTGGCACCGCGGCACTGTACAGTGTGCAGACCGACATACAGCACGCACAATGTAGCACTTATTAGTGAGCGCGCGCATCCCTCTCGCCACCGCCGCCTCTCCTCGCCGCCCTTCGAGCACTCTCCCTCCACCGCACCTGCCGTCGACACCTCCCGCCTCCACTGTGCTCGTACCGCCGCCGACTTCGGCGCGTCCACGACACGCCCTCTGGACACGTCCACTGACATGTCCAGGACGCCTCCCCCCCCGCAGGTACTTTCTGCTCTTCCTCGGCTACTCCCTCCTCCTCACCGTCCTCGGCGTCCTCCTCGTCGCGTCCCTGCTGCACGGCGTCTACTTCAACCCGCACACCACCCTCCGGATGCTCCTCCCCTTTGCTCCAGTCACGCACCCGTCGGCGCGTCCTCCCGCTTCCGCCCTCGACCCGCCGCCGCCGCTGCCCGCTCGCACCGCCCGCCCAAGCC